TTTTGCGGATCAATGGCCGTTTTTATGCTAGAGACGTTAAAGTTGTCTAAGACGTTAAAGTCGTCTCGAGACGACTTTAACGTCTTAGACAACTTTAACGTCTCTAGCATAAAAACGGTCATTGCGTTTACAGTATTATCTTTAGGTTATGAGCGTTTTCGTGCAAGAATAGGGTGAATCTGTTTCGTGGATATCGTATCTTAGAATTCATTGAGTTTAAAAACAAATGTTGGATGGGTAAAGTAAATACAAGACACACTTTAAAGTAAATTCACAAGTATTCACTTTAAAGTGGATACTAGTGAGGTCTTTCACTTTTCAGATTACGCACCTCACTTAGGAAGTTAGCCATACTACAAAATAGAAAAATTTATAACGATTATGGCTGACGTTTAGAATTAGTGATTATCTACACAACAAAACAAGTAACTTCTTGATGATCCGTCATTATTAATGCGACGAGGGTTTCGAGGGCTTACTCAGGAATATTCTCAAATCCCAATAAACTCTCACTTGATCCGTCGCTGTTAATGTAACAGTGATTTTGAGGGCTTACCCACCCATGTTTTTAAAGCCCAATTAACACCTTAATGATCCGTGTCGTGATATTCTTGTAAGCGTATCGCGTGACACTTTATTCTCTAATTTAGTAGTTAAGTTAAGGGTTTGATGATATTTTGGTTAATTAATGTTTAGATGTGAAATTGAACGTAACGCGGTAGTAGCAGACTTGTGGTAAGAATATTCGTGATACTGATATCGTCCTTTCGATATTTTCTTCATGGATGAAACTAAATCAGCCCTATAAACTGATGAATAAAGTGCCAAGAGTTTCTTTCCACAACTTTTAGTGTACTAGAATAAAATCGCCGATTCAAAGAATATATTACGCTCGAAAACTGTGCGTTAAGAAACTGAAAGACTGAAAAGGTGCACGCACTCGTCCAAATATAGACCTCTGTCACTTTTGGGTTCCAAATGGGTTTAAACCAAACTTGTCACAAGCCTGACGTGACGGTTAACTTTGCTTCGTCGGAGGGAATCTTTGGTTATAGAAACCACTCAAGTAAAACGTTTTTGAAGTTCAGTGATGCAGCTTTGCATGGATTTGAAACTGTAATAACAAAGCAACCTATGACCCAATGTGCAGACTCGTTGGGTCTCACCCCTCGCGACGAGGGAAATCGTGCATGCACGTTTACGTTGGAACATCCTATGACGTTACGTGATGTGTCATTCGTGCCGAAAACAGTGCGTGCGTGTGTAGATAACACAAGTGTTGATCGGTGTATACAGTGTAACCCCTCTAATCCGGACCCTCATTAAACCGGAATCCTCTCTTTACCAGACCTTTTTTTCGGCCCCAAAATCTCTGTCATACATTTTCTCTATTTGTAACCTTAGTAAACCGGAACCCCTCACTTTAGCAAACCGGACGCTTTTTTCAGTCTGTACTGTTTTGCTATCAAGGAAATTATCTCGTTAAACCGGACGTGAAAGTGATTTATTAAGCTTGCCGCAAAATCAAATCACACGTTTTTAAACGCGATTAAAATCAAAATTGTGATCATAAAGCGGTGAAATCCCAATCAGAAGTGAGAAACGCGCATCGGCTAATTACTTATTGTTCTATCGGTACTGAAGCAAAAAAATCTAAAGTCGACAATCGTGCCGCTGTTGTCGAGTTGAATGAAGGAAAACAACAGGGGGAATTCTATTCTGTCCTTCTGTTTGGATGAACTGCTCCCTGTTATTAGGAAAATTGTCAACTTGTCTCTCGAGTCTGGCGTCTTTGCAGAGAACTGGAAGAATGCTTTAGTTCACCCCTTGCTTAAGAAAGCAGGACTCAAACCTATTAACAAAAATTTTCGACCGGTGAGCAACTTGCAGGTTACATCAAAGATCACGGAAAAGTCCGTGGCTATCCAATTACAAGATCATATGACAGCCAACAACTTATTTCCTGTCCTCCAAAGCGCATATCGGCAGAATCACAGCACTGAGACGGCGTTATTAAAAGTTAAAAACGATCTTCTGCTAAATATGGACAAAGGTCACGTCACATTGCTTGTTATGTTAGATCTCAGCGCTGCGTTTGACACCGTAGATCACGGTATTCTTCTGCACAGGCTGCAGTCCAAGCTTGGCCTTCGGGATAAGGCTTTATCATGGTTTAAATCTTATTTGGCGGGAAGAACGCAGCAGGTCTCAGTTAACGGATCGCTCTCTGATAAATTTAATCTGTCTTGCGGGGTCCCACAAGGTTCTTGTTTGGGCCCCCTCTTATTTACCATCTACGCGAGTTCGCTGTTTGACATCATGAAATCTCATCTGCCATCCGTTCACACCTACGCGGACGATACACAGCTATATATATCGTTTAATCCCGTTGATAAGACCAGCGAGGCTGATGCTGTGATTGCGATTGAGAACTGTATTCGTGACGTTCGCGCTTGGATGAGAGATGATAAGTTAATGCTAAATGACGATAAGACTGAGTTCCTGATCATTGGCACGGAACGACAGTTATCAAAGGTGTCCGTTGACAAGATCAAGATCGGCCAAGCTGAGGTATCGCCTGTTTCTTCAGTGCGCAATTTGGGCACCTGGTTCGATTCTCATCTGGACATGTCGACTCATGTGACTAAGACTTGTGCTAGCGCGTTTTATTATTTGTACAATATCCGGCACATTAGGAAGTATTTGTCTCGTGAGTCCACCGTGAGGCTTGTTCACGCGTTCATTACAAGCAGGCTTGACTACTGTAATGGTTTATTGTACGGTGCTCCTGAGTATCTAATTAAGAAACTTCAAAGAGTCATGAATGCCAGTGCTCGATTGGTTTACTGTGCACCTAAGTATTGTCACGTTACTCCTTTGCTAAGAGAACTCCACTGGCTACCAGTGCGCTTGCGCGTAGATTTTAAGATTCTCCTTGTTACATTTAAGATTCTTCACGGTGTTGCGCCTAGCTATCTTAAGGATCTTGTCTCTGTCTTACCGGTCTCACGTTACCAACTACGCCGTAACAATAATGGTATATTGTTAGAAAGACCTCAGCTAAGAACGAAGAAGACCTTGGGAGATCGCGCGTTATCGATGGCTGCAAACATCACTATGTCTGAGAGACCAGCGAAACGCCAAAGAATCGAGTTATCGTTAGAGAAGAGAATTGAGTCGATCAAATACGCGGAATCGGTGCCTAAACCAACACTGATCGCTCTCAGCGGTAAATTTGGGATCGGTAAATCAACTGTTGGTGATATTTTAAAGAAAGAATGTTGCGAATGCCAAAACACCAGGCTGTTCTTCGAAAACTTCACGGTTTATTAAAAGAAGGTAATATTTCTTGGCCAGTCTTTCTTTTATCACTAACGCGCGACACACTCTTAATCCTAGACAATGATGATGTATGGGCTGATTAATTGGTTCTATTGTCTACATTGAAATCACAAGAAAAGAGATCACATAACGCTAATCACTTATCTCACTGAATGTCACACAATACAGCTAGAAATATCTCGACACAAGAAGTCTACAAGGCCGAGTGCGGAAAAATAGCAACCCCTAACAAGAAGCGTTTCAACAATTCTTGCAAATTTGATAAACTGAATGAACTTGTGTGGCAGTGGTTTTGCCATGCGCGGGGCAAGAACATAACGATTTCAGGTTTAATTACCCAACTATGCTTGCATGCAGTGCCACTGGTGAAAAGCTCAAGCCGTTGGTTGCCCTTGTAAAGCCAGAGCAATTACCAGTAACTAACATTGCCAACAAGAAAGCCTGGATGACAAACGACATCTTTTTGACATGGATTAAAGATGTGAATCAAGAGATGAAAAGAAAAGACGCCACATTCTGATGTTTTTGGATAATTCCTCATCACATGGCGACTGTCAGCTCTCGAACATAACTTTGAAGTTTCGTCCAGCAAACACATCTCATTTACAGCCACTTGATCACGGGATTATCCGTGCCTCTAAGGCACGATACAAGAAACGTGTACCAACAGACAGACCAACAGGAAAAGAAAGGAAAACTTTATATCAATCCTTGGTCGAATTAACTTCCTAAAACGTATAACTCTTAAATGAGCAGTAATCAAGTCGAACTGATTCCGTTAAAATTCACTTCATTAAATAATTTTACATTACGTGCAGCATTTAACTCTAACCTTCCACTTTGCATTAAGAAGTAAGGTGACTAAATATCAAGTGATTGAAGAGGCTATTTACATTATGAAAGGTTTTTATTCCAATATTTCAACTAATCAAAAGCTTCCATACTGTAAATAACCTCTGCAAAAACCTTTTTTTTTCCTTTTTGCAATTCTTCTTCGTTTAAGTCGGACTACCAAAAGTAAGGTGACGAAGGTGGAAATGACATAAAGGCCGAATTGCTAAGAAGGTTCAAAGAAACAGAAAGGCTTCCACTTCCTTGATGCTACTGAGCTCCCATAACGGAGTTTAGAACACAAAGTAACTCTAAAACAAAAAAAAGGATAATTCTCATTTGATTAAAAGCGGAACTAAATGGATTGAAAATAGCTCACGGTGCGTCAACTGAAGCCGAGGCCAAACAAACGAAGACAACCAATCAGAGGGAAGAACTGAGATATGGGATTCAAACATTGTTGGATTAAGCGAGTCACTGGTCGGGTACAAATTAATGAAATTTCAGCTTGTTTGTTGACCGCTGATACAATACATCCTAAAAAGTTAGAATGTATTCCCCGTTTCGATAACTACTTCCTCCGAAAGCCTCCGGATTCAGTAAACGCATCGTAACGAACCATCGAACGAAATTGTAATCGAACAGGAGCATCTTGAAATGACCCTTGTACGCGAATGTTCGCGACACAAAAATTCTTTGATTTTACTCTGATTCCGGTCATAAGTCCGATCTACATCATCAAAGGCCAGGTTGTTCGAAACCCCTACACAGCTTGTCCAAGAAAAAATGTTAGAGAAAATATGTTGCCATGGCGATAAGCAGATTCATCACTTCTTTTTCCGCCAAATGGCTAGAGCTTTATCACAGTAACTCTTTGCCTGTTGAAGATCCCCCATCTTATGATACACTCGGGAAAGATCATTGAAAGAGCTGGCGACACAATCATTCTCAGGACCCAACTTTTTGAGGTACAAATGAGAGGCATGTTCGTAACATTCTTTTGCTTGCTGAAGATCACCTAACTCGCTGTTCAAAGAGCCTAAGTTGCTATAAACATGTGCCACTTGCAAATGATCTCTTCCTGACTTGGCGAAGTAAATGGACAGAGCGAATTGATAACACTCCTTGGCTTGATGAAAGTCACCCTGTTCAGAGTGCACAAGAGCCATGTCGTTTAAAGTTGTTGCCACTTGCACACTGTCGTTCCCGAAGTTTTTACGACGGATGGCTAGGGCCTTAACATGATAATCCTTTGCCTTCTCCAAGTCACCGGTGGTGCGAAACAAAACACCCATGTTATTATACAAAGATGCAATTTTTGGATTCTCGGGATCGAGTGTTTCTTGATAAATTTTAAGCGCGCGCTCAAAATGCATCTTTGCAGTTCTCAGGTCACCCATGTTATGAAGAACAAGACCAAAACCACAGTAAATAGTAGCAACGTCAACATGTCCAGGTCCGAGCTTTTTAAGTCCCAACTCTAAAGCTCGTTCATAAGACTCTCTCGCTTGCTCAAATTTCCCCATCTCATTGTCAACAAAACCCAAGTTGTAATAAGTTTGTGCCACATCGTTATGTTCAGGGCCTGTAAGCTTCAGGCAAATGTCTAAGACGCTTTGATAGAGACGTTTGGCCTCCTGCAGGTCTCCCAGGTCGCAGTTTACTTTAGCAAGTGCTCTAGCAGAATTGGCTACATTAACATGGTCGGGTCCTCTCAATTTAAGAAAACCGGCGTGTGCAAGTTCATAATACTTCTTGGCTTGATACAGTTCACCCATCTTGCTGTACAAAAAACCTAAGTTACTATTCATTGTTGCAAAATAAATGTGATTAGGACTAAGCTTTCTGCGAAACACAGATATCGCACGATCGAAAAGATCCTTAGCTCGTTCAAGGTCACCTAAGTCACAGTGCACAAGGCCCAGGTCATTGTAGCAGGTTGCCACTTCAACATCCTCAGGGCCCAACTTTTTCAGACGAATTTCCAATGCATGATTAATATACTCTTTAGCCTGTTCCAACGCACCAGTTGCACGGGAAACATTTCCTAATTCCTTGTAGGATGTGGCAACGTCGACATGCTCAGGTCCCTCTTCTTTTAAGTAAATAGCCAAGGCACGTTGGTGGTATTCTTTAGCTTGTGTCAAGTCGAGCAACGCACAGAAAAGGGTACCCAAGTTGTTATAACTTCTCGCAACCTCAACATGGTCGGGACCAAGGGCGTTCTGCCGAATCATTAAAGCTTTCAAAAGGTAATCCAGGGCTTTCTGCCGTTCATTCATCTTTTGTAGAACTGAACCTATGCAACTATATACAGCTGCAACTTCTAAATGCTGTGGTCCAAGTACTTTCGAAAAGGTTGATAGGGTACTTTCAAAATAAGAAAGGGCCTCGTTGAAATCACCCAAATGTACGTCTACACTTGCAATCAACGACTTGATTTTTGCTTCATCCATCTCGTCCGTACTGATCGTCAGTGATAACGCCAATTGAAAGTAACTTTTTGCTGACACCAATCTACCTTGACTCTCGCACAGTTTACCAAATTTTGTAACAATACTCTGAGGAATGGCCGGCGTGATGTTTTGGAAGTCTAAGTCCAGAATGGAAATCTCCATGATTATAGCCTCGAGGTGTGGAACAATGTTGTCAGGCAAGTCATCAACAGGACTATCTCCGAGAACCTGACAAAATGCTTGCAAAGCTCCTTGAACGGATTTTAAGATGTCTGTGGGAAGGGACTCCTTGACTAATCCTTTCAGTACCTCATGCACAATCTGATGAACTCGAACATAAATATCGTTCTCTTCCTCAACAAAGAATAACATGGGGCTCCTGCTCATCTTCAACGTAATGAAGTCTTCGTCTTCACAGCTATCATCCATGTTCATTACGTACTTAACAATTACGTTTACATTCAGTGGTCGTGGTGCACACACAGAGAGGAAAATTGATACGTGCTTCAGGATTTTGTCGGACGCCATGGCCTCCACTAAGGCGGCTGTTACTGCTTCGGTCATGGATCTTCCATAACTTGGGTTAGTCTTTAAAAGATTAGACTCAGTGCTTGCTCTGTGGCCTCTCTCTAGTTTCCCAAGGTAGTCCTTCCAGTCAAAACTCTTGGTAACACTGCGAAATTCTCTGACACAAGTGGCAGCGCTTGCCAAAGCAAGAGGCTGAAAATCCAACGCCCGCGCTACTTCTTCCTCCATATCACTGTCCATGATTCCCGAGAGCAGTTGCAACAAATGCCTGGCATCGACAGGGTCCATACCTTGGCTGACAGAGATATGTTTGATGGAAGGGCTTGTTAAAGGGATAGATGCAGTGTCCTGGGTTGTCACTAGCATCTGTCCCCTTCCCCATAGTTCATCCCCTGCTCTTGGCAAATGGACATGGATACTAGATCCGTTTATGACATTGTCAACAATTATCACCCATGAAGCGTAAAGCGCAATCTTTGCGTTTATTAAGGTCTTGAGATTTGAAATCTTCTGGTCTACGTTCAAATCCTTAGCGCTCATAATGTTTGTCAATGCATACTCAGCACATTTACAATTTCGAGCAAGATATAAGTACGATGCGAAAAGTGCTTCTGAGCTACTAGCTTCTAATGTCATTACAAATGAAGACGCGACAGACTCTTGGAATTCATTGTACAACTGCTTGCCAACTAAACGGGCCAGCTGTGATTTTCCACACCCAGGATTTCCTGACAAATACAGGTATGTTACAGTATTTTCACTTGCACACTTGAGTCGTTTAAGCTCTTGCATTATTTCCGCAACTTCACGATGGCGAGGCGAAACGTCGTGTGAAGGACAAGCAGGGAGGATGCAAAATGAAGCGACATAGCAGTTTAGCTGACTTTCAAGTGACTCTCGTTGTCCCTCAAGAGCCTGTACTACCTCCTCTTTCTCTTCCAGTTTCATTCTGAGATCGTCAACCTCCTTCGAGACACGTTGCAGCTCTTTAGTGGAAAAACTGTTTTGACGTTTTATTTCTTGAATACTATTAGTGTCAAGACCAAGGGCTCGAAATGCGTTTTCAACTTCAGTAGTGGCGCTATTGAATTGCACATCCGAGAGACTTCCTCGTGGTATGTGGACAAATTGGACAGAACGGAATTGTCTCAGAAATTCCACATGACGGCGAACGGTTGAATTAAGACTGTAGATAGCATTAGAGGAGAGGACGGCATAAAACAACATAGCACAATCCCACTCAGCTGTGTCACCTCTAACCATGGTACTCAAACGATGGGCATATTTTTGTTGGTTTTGCCCTGACTCCAGGCGATAAAAGTCACTTCCACTTTTACTTGAATCTTCCCATTCTCCCAGCGTTGATTTGTAGCGATTGTCCCATTCTTGTTTGAAGACTTTCCGCAGACCTTCGGCTAATACATCGGTGGCAACGTAACAAATTCTGTAGTAGTTTAGCTGCTCTGTATTGAACGTTACCGCCATGGTCAACTTTACACAAGTCCTTTACTTTTTGACACGTCCGTCCTAAAAATAACATGGCAATTTCTTTACTTTCAAAATTTATCACTTATCTGTTTAATACCCTGGACTCTCATACACATTTGTCATTGCAGTTAAATTTTCCCTTTAACTCCTCAAATTGGTTTGCCAGATCTTAGAACAGAATGACAAAGCCAGCACTCAGAAGGGAAGAGGAGGAAAAAGGCGCATTCAACACAATGCCAAACCTCATTAAGGGCGATAGTTCGTAAACGTCACACCAGATCAAACTGGCAGGTCCACCAATTTGGCTCAAATTTTGCATGTAAAGTTGGTTAGGAGTTCTTATCCCAACATGGATATTTTAAGGATACGGTAAACCTTCAAGAGTGTCCTTCGTAAACAAAAGACCATCTTAACGCCCTATTTGAAACATAACTATTATAAACTATATATCAATGGAAACTTACTGAAATGCACTATTAGGCAAAAATTATTTCGTTTAAGCTTGATCTTATTGTAAACCGAATGAGGCGCGACAACGCAAAAGAGACTCTGTCCGTTTGAGCGAATTAATCGCATATCGAAATTGGCCGCACAAATGAAACTGCTGCACGATCGCAATCCTGAGAGGTTGGTCCTTAGAACCGTGCGGGGATTTTTCGATATTCTTATTGGTTTTTTTGCAATTTATCTGGTAAGTTTGCTGATCAAAATGTTACCGATACGCACTACGTCGGAGGCCATTGGGGGAGATCCATTTTTAAAACCGGAATTACCCCACATGGGTCTTTAGGTTGGTGGATTGGAAGTCTTCAGACCAATTTCAAGGCATCCGCAAAGTTTACATACTCTATTAATTTGTAAAAAAACAAAACAAAAAAAAAGGCACATTTGCGTAAAAACGCATTGTTTTTTTCGCTTCCAAAGTTTTCCCACCAATTCACGCCTTCGAGTGACTACATGTCAAGTTATGTCAACATTCTGAAGAACACGAAATGCCAACCGCCAATAACAACACAGAAGCGCCCTACAGAGTCTCAGGACTCTGAGCAAAAACATATTTTGAAGGTAACCATCTATCAGTTATCTATGATGACAGGCTTTAAGTTCAATTCTGCTGAACAGCAATTTGATTTCAACTCTTTTTTATTTATTCAACCTAAAAGCGGCTTGGGCACGCCGCGGTAAAACTTAATATTTATTAATCAAGTGCGAGCGACGAAGATTGCCTAAACCAAGAGCCTTTCTTCGTTTCGGTGAGATTTTCGCAACATCCCTAATCTTTAGCACCTTAAATCGCTACGATGGGTGGGGTATTGATAGACCCTTCTTCATTTACCGTACTTCTCCAACTCATGTCGATGCCTTTCGCATATCCTCATTTCGCTGAGATTTGAAATCAGCAAATTAGAATGAGAGAATGAGTTCGTACGCATAATGTTTTTCGAAAGAGATTTCGAGAGCTGTGATTGGCTGTAATTAACTCATCTCAATGTTAAGGCTCAGGGACTGTGTAACATCTCTTAGGCTAACACTTAATCTTATGTATTTTAAAAAGCAAGATAAAAAGCTTGGAGTCCTCATTTTGTGTTTCGAAACTCGTGAGGTAACTTCAATTTTGCAAATCGATAACAAGTTATAACTTCTATGGGCCTGCCAGAAAATTCCGTGTACATTAAACGATTTTTCTCTGATTTTGTTGATAGGGTGGCTAGCGGTAAACACTTTTAAAAATAGGATATGTACCAGAGTTTAAATGATTTTTCTTCGCAGATTCATAGCGGTAACTCCCTTTTACCAAACGACCTAACCCTAAACCCTAAGCAAAATTGCTGCTTATTTTAACAATCAAATGGAATGTCCCTCAAAATCAAGTTACACCCGCCATATGATAAGTTGTTTGCTCGTTAACACTCAATCCAATTTCAAAGGAATGAGCAGGATATTCATATGTAGACACTCGATATTCATATAAATACTTTAAATTATCCCCGATATCTTGGAGTCTATGGTCATCTTTATTCAAAAGACCAACAGGTGTCATGAGTAGGATCGAGAGGTGACTCATCAGCTGCACCGAAGAAAATTGGACCAGTTACTTTGTAAAACACAAACCATGTCGTCATTTTAGCGAGCTAGAAAAGGAAAATTTCATTCTGAAATTGTCTTAAGTCTCTCTTAAATTTATGCAACCTGACAAAATATTTTGCGGACGAACCTCCCAATATTGAATTTCGCATGATTGTGTTGCGTGACACAATATGACTGAAAACAAAAACAATCTACCTGGTTTAGTTAATGTGCTTTCGTGTAGATATTACTTTCTGGCGATTTTATGAGAACGTTTGGGTTTAAGAACACAGCAGATGGGTCCTCTGAATAAGAAAGTTCACATAGCACTTTATCATTACAGGTTCGAACATTTTCCAATTTCAAGTGACTGCACTTTAGATATAATTTAAGTAAGAACACTTTCTAAACAAAAGACATATCTTTTGGATTTAACATGACTATTTTTATCTTCAACCTGACTTTAAGTTGTCTCTTTTCTTTCTCGTTACTGAGTGAAAAACAAAACAATGGGTCGCTTAGAGCGAACAGTCAACTTTCGGCCGATGGGGATGAGAATTTTCTCTTTTAAATGCTGTTTTATGGCATCAACAAGCACAAAAAAGCTTCAAAGTGCTCAATTCAGGCGCCACTCATAGTTTGTAGACGTAAATTTCGTACATAATTGAGTTCGCTTTTTGTGCATTGTTTGGTGGAATTTTCGAAAATGGTCATAATACGTTGGCCGGCTGCGTTAGAAGTTCGCCGAAACCACAAAATATTTTTTATTTCCACACTCCTCTACCTTATTTAGTTAGCTTGAATAAAAATTTCATGGGAAAGAAGTTTGACTTTGGGGCTGAGTCGGGGTAGTAGCAATACTCCTAGCCGCTTCATGCTAAGGAAACCAGAGTTAAGCGTCGGCCCCATGGGCCACTTTTACTATAATTAATATAAAACCATACAAAAATGAGAAAGCACAGGAAACCTAGGCATTGAAAAGTTGCACTTGATCAGCCTTGTTTTCATGTCCCACACAGGCTCCAAATGGCTGTGAGCCGTAATTTTCCACGCAAAATAAATTTTGATCTTAAAAATCTATTTCGTGATTAGAACCCCTAATCCAGTTTACATGCAAAATTTGAGCCAAATCGGCGAACTTGCTTGTTTGACCTGGCACGGCATTTACGAACTATGGCTCTTAAGGTGATTCCTTAGAAAAAAAAAGTTATCGAACAATTTTTTGAAAACTTTCCTTAAATGTTCCTTACCAATATCTGTTTCGAAAAATAAAATAAAAAAGATAGGTCACTGCACTCGTTTAAGAGAAATGATAAGCCAAACTTGCCCCACTTATGCCTGTTCTGTTCTGTTCTGTAACATAAAAAAAAAAAAACTTGATAGGCAGAAAGTCTTGAGCCCATGAAACAATTTGATAACTAGTTTACGAAAAAAATCACGCAATTTTAAACGTCGTCGACTCAAATCGTTCCTTAAGTCGTTGCTTTCAAGGACATAATTTGCATCATAGAGTGACAGGCTTTGTGGACGCTTTTAGCCATAAATTTTTTCCCTTCGATGAATTTTTTTCATTTGTCTAATTTAAAGGGGACACTTTGTATACTAAAATTATGTAATAACAAATATAGATCAATGTACTCGTTCACGAGCTAATGACCATCGTACCTCTTCACCTGGTCCATTTATTGAAGATGCGCCTGATTAAGTGAAAATAGCCTGATTACATGCTTTTTAAGCGCAGTAGAGGATGCACAATGCAGTACTGAGGAATCACCTTAAGTAAAGCATAGCCTTTTTCTGGTTGTTTTTCTTTTCTTGTTTTTGGTTTTTTTTGTTGTTTGGTTTTTTTGGTGCATTCGTGTGGAGAAATTGGAAATAAACAGAATACATATTTGACCTGTGGCAGAAAGATAAACGCAGTTTACATTCCACGACTCCAATGATCTAACAACAGTGCTTAAGTAAGCTAGAAAAACAATACAGTTGCTTAAGTCTAATTATACGATACAATAATTTTCTAATTTCTTCAAATATTCCATCAGAGAGGAGAGGATTTTGAGTTGTACAATTTAGAGGTAATAAAAGTTTTCTATAGAAAATCAATAATAGTCACTTTTCCTTCAGTAAATTATAAGATAATCCTTACCACCTTATCACCCTCATCATGCTGCCAACTGGTCCAACTTTTCCACATTCCAAAAAGAGGACAACTTCCAGATTTCCTTAAAACCTTGTATTCTGTCACTTTGACATTTGAAAGTCCTATTTTTTCTGCCTGCCTACAGAATGGACATAATTTATTCTATCAATTAGTTCAATCCTTTTTAAGTCATGAAGGAAGTTAGAATGGAGAAAAGAGAGGACTACAAGAAATGAAATACTGCCCCGTTCCCATGACTCACCATCAACATTCTCCTTGGGCTTGCCTCATGCTTGCCCACGCTTCCTTGGAGTATATGCGAACTTCTGCTTGATCGAATTCACCTAGGAACTCAATTTAACACCTGCGGAAACAAAAACAGTGATTAGTGCTAAGGGCTGAAATAGTTGCCGGTCAACAGACAATGTCCAGTCAAATAAAGGTTTTGTCTGATCCACTCCTTGTATGGCCCAACATTTTGATCAGTTGTGTAAGGTGACGTGTAAAGAAGAATTTAATTCAGAGTGAAGTTCAGGTTTTAAAACAGCTACATCCTTTTTTCCCCGTAGAGGGAATCAAAGGGCTCTTGGAGCCAGCTCATTCATATTATGGCCTAAGTTTGTATTGATTTCTTGGACTTGTTGAATATAGGTAGAGTTCAATTCGGTTTATATGAGCTTTCAAGACTTATGAAATAAATTCTCCTTTGTTTTTCAGCAGTTGTGTGGTAAGAAAACTTGTCGATTCGTAGTGATGGGAATTGGAAAAAAGGTTGTGTGGGCTGGAGGGG